AAACTTTTCACAATCGAATCAGCTCTAGCCCTCTTTTCATCCTGTTTACACCGCCTCAGGGCATACTTAAATTTCGCCCTCGATTTACACATTAAGGAAAGGATCTGTCCTGAGCAAGGGCGGCCACTTTCCCTCCAAATAGTGTTCATATGATCATATGAGTGTGTATGTATGTATGTGTGTGGGTGTGTATGTGTGTGTGCACGTGTGTTTGTGTTTGCTTCCGCGTGTGTGTGTATGTGCATGTATTTGTGTTTTGTGTATGTGTGTGTGTGTGTGTGTGTGTGTGTGTATGTGTGTGTGCATCTGTGTTTGCGTTTGCGTGTGTGTGTATGTGCATCTGTGTGTGTGCGTGTGTGTGTGCATGTTTGTGTGCATGTGTGTGTGTGCATGTGTGTGTGTGCATGTTTGTGTGCATGTGTGTGTGTGCATGTGTGTGTGTGCATCATTGTGTGTGTGTGTGTGTGTGTGTGTGTGTGTGTGTGAGTGAGTGTGTGCATCATTGTGTCCATGCGTGTATTTTCTCGTGTGTGTGTGTACGTGTGTGTGTGTGTGTGTGTGTTTGTGTGTGTGTATTTCCCATTTTTTCGAATGTGAATCATTTCGACAGTCAAAATTTGATTTCATCTGTGTTTTAGGACCTCGGCCTATTACATCGATCTCTATATGTGAACAAACGACAACCGTCATTAAGGCAAAATGGCCTGCTGCTGAAGACAAAGACGTCACATACATGGCACAGATCACCGGTAAAGACCCGATACTAGTTGGTAAAGACTTAGCATGTTGTTTTGACGAGCTTGAGCCTGGTACTAGTTATGATATAAGTATAACCGTGAAACGTACATTTGAGGACGGGAGAGAAGTTGATAGCCGTCCACGTAAAACTAAGGCCTTCACCTGCCCTTCCCATCCAGAATCCGTTAGCGTAAAATCATATGGCCATTCGTCGGTAACACTTGCTTGGCAACCTCCTGCAGCTGGAAATATAGATTGTTACAGAGTAGAAATATGGTGTACAGACCAAACTAAAGCAAGGAGTGACGAACACAAGCCAGAACATAGTCGGCTAATAGGCAAATACTCAACCGAATATACATTTGATTCCCTTTCGACTTCCCCGGGTAGTCTTCACAAAGTAACAATTTCATCTTACTTCCAAAATCTCAGCAGTGAGATTGTGGAAATAATGCAGAGGACCAAGCTTCGTTCTCCAGACCTGAAGCTGCGCGAAAAAACGCAAACCTCTATCACGGTTTCTTGGGAACATGTGATGGGTGAGAAAGAAAAGTACGTTCTCTCAATAAGTCCGAATGAGGGCGAACCCGATGTAGTAATTCCTTGCCATGAGAATAGGCTTCAACATAAGTTTCGAAACCTAGTCCCAGGTAAAGAATACAAAGCGTCAGCCATTACAATTTATAAAGATGCAGAATGTGAACCATGTACCGTGACCATTGTCACATTGCGAGAAGATGTGGAAAGTGAAGAACGCGTAGTTGAAGAGCAAACTATTGTCGGGCAGCCCAAGAATGTTCGAGTCAAACAGGCTGGAGATGGAGCACTGACGTTAAAGTGGGAAGACGCTGAGGGAGACAAGAATGGATATATCTTAGAGATAGCCTCAGCTTCAGAAATAAAATCAGAAACGTATCGGTATGTTTCACGTTCACAAGCAAGGCGATATGAATTGACAAATCTAGTCCCAGGACGTCTTTATTACATAACGATCAAAACGACAAGCCATGGCCGTCACAGTGAACCAGTTACACTACAAGCACGGACAATAGTTGCTAGAGCAAGAAACTTTGCTAGGGAAAATGTGAAGGAGAGAAGCATTGCCGTTAGCTGGACAAGTGCCCTTGGTGAGGTAGACAAGTATATTCTACAAATATCTTCTGAGACATGGGCGGAACAAGTGCCAATAACTCACAGTGAAGGGCGAATGTCTTATATTTTCGGAGACCTCGAGCCGGGACGTCATTACAACATATCTATAAAAACTGATCGGGAAGGAGACTATAGTGATGAAGTACCACTACTAAGGGTAAGAACAATGGTCAGCAAGCCGGTGAATTTAAAAGTTGAAGACAAACAAACTGACAGCCTTCGGGTGGTATGGACCAGTGCGGAAGGGGACAAAGATGCCTACCACATCAGGATAGATCCACAAGATGGAGATAACCCGTCTGCAATTTTAAAGAGCACCGATGAATTGGCATACACATTTAAAGAACTGAACCCTGGGAGGCTCTACACAGTCAGGGTCGTCACCGACAGTGGCGGAGACAAAAGTTTGGCAGAAGTAGTCAAGCGAAGAACGCTTCCGAGCCCACCGCGAGCCGTGGGAGCATCAGTGCAAGGGACAGGCATTCTTGTAACTTGGGAGCCAGCAATCGGAGACAAGGACAAATATATCTTGAAGCTTTTTTATTATGAAAAGGATACCGGCGAAGAAACAGATCCTCTTTGGCGTGAAGTTGAGGAGGGAAAGCCTACACAGCAAATGTTTCCGCAGCTACAATTTGGAAGAATGTACCATGTGCATGTTATAACCCGTACTGACGATATCGATAGTGAACCAGTGGCTACATCACGAAGGATGACGGTTGACCGTCCAAAGAATGTATCAGTAATGCATAAAACGGAAACAACAGCCATCATCAAGTGGGATCATGCACAGGGTGACAAAGACAAGTACGCCGTGGAAATACAGCCTAATTCACAGACGGGCTATGAAAACGAAGTTGACCAAGAACAATTAACATATGACTTCGACGACCTTCAACCCGGAAGACTGCATCACCTGTCTGTCTACACAATTAGTGGAGACGACCGGAGTAAACCTGAACGTACACAATTTACGACATTGGCGCGTCCTCCAAATAAAATTTATGTCAATAAAGAAGACGTGAAGGAGAAAAGCTTACGTGTTTTCTGGCTCGAACCCGAGAGTGACGTGGACCATTACGGGATAAGTATTTCTCATTTAGGAAAAGAAATAAGCCGACACGAGATTTCTGCCTCGCCACGTGAGTACCTCTTCGGGAACCTCACCCCCGGTAGGCTGTACACAATTTCAGTCTGGACTTATGTTGGGGACCTGGGAAGTACATCAGCTCCAATATCAGTACAAGAAAGAACATTGGTTGCAAGTGCCAAGACGATAAGAGTTGAGGATTGTACTCATTCGTCAATATCATTTTCATGGGATAAAGCCGACGGTGACGTGGACTATTATGAGTATCGTGTTATGTATGGGGAGGTTTGCGTCAATACGAACATAAAGACTCAGTCATCCGACCAACGTTGGGTACAGGTTGATGACCTAACCGGGGGACGTCTGTACGAGCTAGTTGTAGTAGCTGTGCGTAGTGATAGGAGAAGCCTGCCTACCAAAAGAAATCATCGCACAAAAGTTCACAAACCTGAAGGCCTTCACGTCGCTGACGTCAAAATGCAGCAAGTCACCATCACATGGGAGCAAGCACAGGGAGACAAAGACAAGTACACTGCAGTTGTATTTGATACTACACATCAAGACAGAACTCCAAAGAGCAAAGGAGATGTATCTGCCACCGCCTCGGCTCTCGAACATCGCTTCAGTGCTTTGGTACCCGGCCGAGAGTACGAAGTAGTGCTTAGGACTATCAATGGAGGAGATGCAAGCGACCCTGAGAAACGGCTAGTAAGGACAAAGCCCCTGCCTCCGGTAAATGTTAGGACATCCGCCGTGGACACAGGAATCATGGTGGAGTGGTCAGAACCAAGCGGCGACAAAGACGAGTATTTACTGGAGATTTCGCCCAAGGAAGATTTACATACTCCTATTGTCATTTCAACTGGGGACGAGACCTCTTATACTTTTCCAGGCGTTACGCTCGGAAAGTTGTACGACGTCAAGATTTTCACCAGAAGCAAAGATGTCGATAGTGGTAAGGTAATCAGACAGCAGCGGATGACTGTAGGACAACCAAATCTTGTACACCTTCACCCATTCGAGACCTCTGTCAAAGTGACATGGGATCACGCAGAAGGTGAAAAGGAACGCTACCACATCACGGTATGGGACGTGGGACGGAAGACATGTGTATGGAGGGAAGAAAGAAACGCCGATGAGGACTTGGAGGTTTTATTTGATGCTCTTGTATCCGGAAGGCTGTATGGAGTGGAGGTCACTACAGAGAGTGGAGGAGAGTTGAGTGAATGCGTACCTAAAACAGTGAGAACTAAAATTCGCCCTCCCGCACAGATCAACATAGCAGACAATGACGTAAAGGAAAATAGCCTTCGAATCACGTGGCGTAAACCAGATTGTGACATCGACATGGACTGTTATCATGTTTCGATTTCCCCAGAGAATGCTATTGGTGTGGTAGAAAAAGGGCAACCTTTAGAGTATACTTTCCATAATCTCACTTCAGGTCGCAAGTATCAACTAAGCGTGACAACCGATAGCGGTGGGGACAAAAGTGGTCCCGTCACCAAGACAAAAAGAACAACTGTCAGTCGCACAGAACAAATCAATGTTAGGGAAAGAACTGAAACTACTCTAACCATAACTTGGCTCGACGTCAAGGGTGACAAGAGTTCGTACATTGCCTCCATACGAGAGATGACCGCTGAAATATCTTTTCAACGTTTCCCCGACATCCGGATCCCTGCCTATTCTCTGAACTCCCAAAGGTTTTCCAATCTTACTGCTGGTAGAATGTACGAAGTCTCTGTGGTCACAGTAAGTGGTGAAATGGAAAGTTTGGCAAGAACCATGCTGGTCAGAACAATTGTGTCTCCTCCAAGAAATGTAATGATTCCACAGGACAGTGTGACAGAACACAGTATGGATGTAGTATGGGAGGACGCCAGGGGGGATTACAAGTCATACGAGCATCTAATATCACCAAAAGAAGGTACAAGCAGATACATGGGAGAGGAGTCACTAGATGGAACTCAGGTGCACAGAAGCAGATTCGAGAATCTGTTTCCATGTAAATTATACACAATCGAATTGTGGACAAGGCAGGAAGAAGCTGACAGCGAAGTTAAAGTTCAAAGTCATAGAACAAAAGTTGCGGCTGTGGAGGAAACATCCATAGTATTCACGAACATCAGTGAAAATGAAGTCACTTTGGGATGGAAAGAAGCCGAAGGAGAGAAGGACGGCTACACAGTAACCATACACCCTTTCCCTGACGATACTACGGCGGTTACACCACCACCGGCTGAAGTGAAGGCAGACGATGACTTACAGCACACTTTCCGCGACCTTACCCCCGGACAGAAACACGCTATTTCCATTGTAACATTCAAGGAAAATGACAAAAGTTCGGAAGTCACCAAGACGGTACATACAAAGCCAAATAAACCCGAAGGCTTCCGCGTTGAAACTTTTGCAGAAAGCATTGCCGTGTCTTGGTACTCCCCTAAAAGTATACAAGATGGGTATGTGTTGAAAATAACAACAGTTCCAGAGGATCCGGAGTATTACATTCAAGCAACTTTTGACGAAAAGACAATGTCTTCTAACGATGAAGTTGCTAGCGTCTTAGACGAATGCAATGAAACAAGACATTTCACTTACACGTTCAGGGAGAAGGGCACGATAAAGGCGCGAACAAAATATAAAATCTCAGCACAGACCAAAAGCGGCAAGAAACAAAATGGTGGTCAATGCAGTGATGTGATCGTTTTTGAAGGACGGACAAAGCCACATCCTCCCAGAGATCCTCGCCTAGTAAAGGAGGACATAGAGAGTGTAACATTTTCCTGGGCGCCGCCTATAGATGTAGAGCGAAAGCGAGATATCCACAGGTACATCGTTCGGTATAAAAGGCCAGAGGACGAGAATGAACGGGAGCATGACTGTCAGTTTAACACCTGGGCAAAAATAGAACACTTGAGGGACGACACAAATTATGATTTTTTCATCATATCAGTGGTGGAAACAAGAGCTGAAGACGGGACAGTTGAACGGGTCGACAGTGAGAGGTGCAGATTCACTTTCAAGACAATGTCACAGAGCACGAAAATTGCCAGACAGCTCTCAAAGCTAAGAAAAGCTCTTCCTATCGTGATCTGTGGTGGAGCATTTGCCATCTACCTGTTTATCTTCCTTGGCGTGTTCGTTCACAACTGCGTCAGACCGTATGGTCAGAGTGAGATGGCCGCTACAACCGTAATTCCAAGTGGAAACAGCTCGAACACCCCAACTAACAATTCTTCTGTCAGACCGACTGCCAGCGCACAGTCGTTTAACAGTGGTTTAGCAGAGTGCTTCTTTGAAAAGGCTGGAGAACAGTTTTGGTACCTCGTATTTTTCACTGCTGTTCCGGCTATTTGCCTCCTAGCTATCTTTCTGTGGAAAGTAATCAAGCGCATCAGACAGAACATAAGGCGACGTGCAACCCCGGACGCAGAACATGGACTATTAGATGACTTAGAAGTAGACACAGAAATGACTGAAATGCACCCAGTTGAAGATATACCAAAACTTGTGTACGGAAGAAACGCAACTTGACAAAGATGGCTAACTAATTGATAAAGTTGTTAAAGTTGATAAAGCTCGGATCGCTATATAGTTGAAGGTCGATGACGGACATTGAACCAGCATCCAAACTATTCAGGTGTTTAACACGTCTCATGAAACAAGACAGGACGGGTCGTTCGCCGCTGTACCACGAAGAATTTTTTAAATTTTTTTATAACAATCAGAACACATTACATATGATTCTCTCTAATGGAGTAAAGCAATGGAAATGTAAAAATTGAGGAATCTTTGTGCAAGCTGTGATCTTAGTTTCACTTATTTCATTAACGTGGCATCAGAATGCTTAAAAGATCCTTTTATACGGGTACATCACCAGATAATATGTGCACATATATGAGATATGGAATCATAGGTACACTTGGTTTGTGATTCAAAACATGCTGGACTACTCTGCTGGTCTGGATTTGTAGATAGGTGAAAATGTTTATCTAATGCATATTTGTACCTGAGTTTACTCTTCAGCTTTGCGTATTTTCCCTCAATTTCCATGTTTCAATCGTTTTTCTTTTGTTGCAACACCTCCCAATTCATACATATCGCAAAATGTCAGCCATTTCATACTCCACTGCACACGGAAAAGAAATCAAACCCAACAATAACTACAGATGTACATCTAAAGTAGCATTAGCATTACTTATTATCATTTTTACTGTTCATTGTTGTTATCATGTTCTTGCAATTAGCCCTCGGGCATGAATTTGCAATAAATTTTCAATATATATATTTTGACCATGTGCAATGGTGTCATCAATACGACATGTGTATAATCAATATGACTTTTATATAGCGATCGACTGAACATAGAATACCAAACGAGAGTATTTTTTGGACAATCTATATTCCAGCAATATACTGGTATACATCATCATAGTTAGTATACATGTAGTACACGAAATATGAATAAAAGACGAATGACAATAAACCTGATAGCGTGTGTGCACCTTTTTTTCGGGACTCAGTTACTGTTACAAAAGTACTAGCGATGTACTCGTATTAGTAGTTCATTAGTACAAAACCTTTCGGGAGATCACCTATTTTTCAACTTACGTATACATACCTTGTATGGCATAAGAACGGTGGCTTGAAAGTACCTACAGTAATAACATTAGCTGAAAACTGATGATGACCGTTAGACTGAATTAACTACATATTAACTACTGAATGGAAGATCTCCTTGCCCCAGATTAAACATGTACAGTTATTATTAGTTGCACAAACAAATGAATTTACCTGCCAACGTTTAGGTTTAACCATTAGAAAGGTAGTTGAGGGAACTGTACGCCAGTTTGCATTGAATGACCAACCTTACACATAACACAGTTATACAAAGTCTGTACTTTCAGAATACACTAAAAGAATCAAAACTTTTTAATTGTTAAATCAATTTTACTGAATTTTCAGAATGATAGTATTATCCACAGCCCCCAATCAGGCAATCATTATGGTCAATACTCATCTATCATTGGACGTCAAAGCCCGACTCAGTTCATCACTATTCTGCGTTTATAAACCCATCAAAGCCTTACAACTATTTCTTTTGGCAAACTTTGACGCGGCAAATTCGTGACATTTGCTTCATTTAATGTTTTTGTTGAAACAATTCAATTGTATAGTTATCGTTCCTTCCATGTCGGACAGTACTTCCCATGTTACCATGGTAACGGTACCGAGGAAACCGCGCTGCCCCTCGGGAAGGTCCCGGATGACGCTTGTCTCCTTAGCGACGGCCTGGCGGAACAACATGTCCCTCCCCGCGTGACACGAGAAGTACACACATTAGCAATTTGACCATCATAAGAAAGCTAAAATATCATAAAAATTGATTACCATATCTGTTTGCTAAAATCCATCACCAACGTCTGAAGAGATCAAATTACAGAAGCGTGCAAAGTTACGGCACACCGTCAAGCTTAGGTACATTCACAAAACGTCTCGAAGTGTTTGCCACGTGAAGGACTCATAATAAACAGTATGAATGATTCATTCTTATCAAAGTATTTTCTTTACATGAATGTTTTCAAACTTCATCCCCATTAAAACCGGACCACTCTCTGACAACTAGCGATGAAGCTTCGTGAGTTCGAGCACGCGAAAGAGCGTGTGATGTTAGGACACCCCCCGCCCGGTACATTTATTTTGATTTTTATTAAGCACTGTGATTTATGTTCTAACACCAGTTCTATCAGACTTTGGGAGTAACTTAAAGTAGTGGAAACATTTTCATGAATTCGACGCCCAACAGCTGTGGAATATTCTGTACATTGTATGAAATTGAATCCGTAACCTGCTTATGGTAAATTTCAGCATTGTTCTACAAACGTTGACCTCACTGGTGATGTGTACCTAAAATGATGTCACGGGACATAATAAACGTGTCTATGACGTAATTGCTGTTTGTTATTAAAATGTTACGCTGTATTAAGTATTGAAATGTTTAACAAAAGTTCCACGATCTCATACCCAATCAAGTGATTAATATAGACACTTTTATTATGTCCCGTGACGTCATTTTAAGTACATGTCATTTTAAACACACGCAAACACACACACACGCGCGCGCGCGCGCACACACACACACACACACACAAACACACGAACACACACACACACACACGCAAACACACACACAAACACACACACAAACACGCGCGCGCGCACATAAACACGCACACAAACACACACACACAAACACACACACACAAAAAAAAACACGCGCGCGCGCACACAAACACACACGCACACAAACACGCACACACACACACACACAAAAACACACACAAACAAACGCTATGGAAAACACAACCGTCTTGGCAAAGGTAACGATCCACCTTGTGAGAATTTTGCAATGAATTTGCTTAATTCATCTGATTATTTTTTATTATTCCTTTATTCTACAATTAAGGAAGGCAAAGGAGATCCAAAGATAAGATAGGCTAGCCGGTAAACACTTGTTCAGAGTGCCTTGGAAGTAAAACTTTCTATAAAAAGTATCACCACTTAGTTATTGAAATATTTATAAATTCAACCCAACCTTTTTCTTCGCTTACGAGTAACATTCTAGCGTGTCATTTGTCGTACACAGGATGTGTAATGTGTTAGATTACAAAATACATTTATATATAAATAATAGACCTTGGCCAATCAGGGAACATTGAAACTTTATTAAAACCTTGCTGTGAGTGTGAAAAATTAAGGGTAAATGGATATACATGTTTTGTACATGTATAACGGCGTATTTACTGGTCGGTTAAAAACCAAAATGCATTAATTGAAATTAAAAATGGATAAGAGTCAGCCACATACAACAGTCTATATATAATAGATGGTGTTAATAAACCTCATGAAGTGACTTGTACATACATGTACATGTATGACGCAACAGGCATGCACTTTGTTAACATCCGGCAAAAATTGTCTGTTTGACTTTGTAGAGAAGGACTAATCTAAGTTGAAACTAGACATTACTGTGAGTCCTGTCTATGTCAATGGCATAAAAAAAATTAATTTTTTTGTTGTTGTTTTTTGTTCTTTTCTTTTCTAGCACGAAAAACAAACACCTTGGCTTTTAGAAACAAAGCTAAGATACCCGGGCTACCCTGTTTATCCTTAGCGTAATCGGAACTTATACGCTCCGACAAAAACAGGTTGATGGAGATGTTACAAAGTTCAACCTTGTTCATGTTTTCCCGGGATGTTGCGGTGGACCTTCTGGTTCACTTTACAGTCCCTCCTGTACAGATGCCCGTCTCGCTGCCACAATCATCGCAAGCCAATTGCGGGCCTTGCGGCTGCCGTCCCATATTAATGTCGCCTGGTTCGTGCCTGGAACTGGCAACAGGATGGGGGTAAGTAGTGCCAGCACTGGGTGGATCGGGGGCGTCTGCGGGCGGGCGGACTGTCCGGTCTCCGAGTCGGCGCTGGGACGTGAAGCCTGCTTCTGACCGGCCTCGGTTTTGGGGCGTGGGGGATCATCGCCCTTCTTCTGTCGGGGTGAGATGTTGCCTTTCACCTGCCTGGCCTCGGCGGTAGGGCGATCCTTCTGACCCGCGGTACCGGTGTTCTTCGGCTGTTGCTGAGGGAGAGTGGCCTTGGGGGCGTCTGCCTTCGCTGTGGTCTCTGCCTTGGGCTGAGACTTCTTCTGTAGCAAGAACCCGGACTTCATGCCGCCGAATGTTCCCTTCGGTTTGCCGGTGTTGGCCATACCGGGAGCCCGCACAGAGGCGCTGGGTTTGTCGGACTCTGCAGGTTTGTTCTTCGGCGTGTCCGCATGGTTGGTAGGCGCGTTCAAGTCACTACGCCGGGTTTTCTTCTTAACAGCCTCCTGAAGAGGCACACTGGGCGGGTCCACGAATGGAGGAATCTTAACTTCACATCTCTCGACTCCGATGGCGGCGTTCAACGCTGTGGTGGAGAAAAAAGAACCTTGTCAGAAACGGTCATACTTGTAGATCGAATCTTAGAACGTTAAAGAATCTAGTTCTGTTGTTCGAGCGCGGCAGACAGAAACTGCTCTGAAGTAAATTTGCTCTCACCATTGGCGATGGAGCCCAAAATCCTGGCGGCGAGGCCGAACAGAAAGATAGTAGACACTATGATGAAGCTGAACATGGCGTCAATACGCACACAGCTGCAGGAACTCTGGAATCACGCAGAAATCAAGACGGGCGAAAAAAAAACACGTCCAATTCTCTTTCAGGGACTTCCAGAACTGAAGTACATTTGTGACGTCACAAAACAAGTATCAAAGGACGTGACCTCACTGTGACGTTAAAATGACGTCACGGGACATAAAAAAAACGTGTCTATGACGTAATTGCTGTTTGTTATGGAAATGTTACGCTGTATTAAGGGGGCACACCCCAGTCTATTTGGCGTCTCTATTCGAAGCTGCACACACTCAAATCTAGCGACCGTCTCTGGCGTGGAATAATTCGGAAGGAGAATAACTGTAAATGGGACGAAAGGATATCTCTTCAGCTACAAGACCAGTTGAGTTTGGTTTCTTCAACCTTTTTAAGTTTGGTAAAATCAACGGAAAAAACATTATTTTCACTCCAAAATTAATGCCCAAAATTGCGAATTTTCGCGTAGGATAATCCCATAGAAAAAAATTTTCCGGCAGAAATGACTGATGCTGGCAGAAAGACCCAAGCCTTGACTATACCCGAGTAAATTATAAAGAAAATTCTAGTACTGTAATTTTCTAATCAGTCCACGGCGCGAGGGGTTGCAAATTCACCCCTACGAAGGCGCAGAGCGAAATCTAGGTCAAACGGACGGATTACACTTGGCGCGCAAGGATACCCGGAAGTAAGGTTCGGAGCCAAAAGAAATTTTCACCCCAAAATCACCATTTCTTACACTCTTCAGCCATGTTAATGCTTAATGACACTTCGTGGCAGTTTATGAGAAATGTCACCTCAAACTTGGACCCTCAAAACCCTTTCGTCACTTTTTTACAACGGACTATCGCGGAGTGTGCACCGTTAAGTATTGAAATGTTTAACAAGAGTTCCGATGTCATACCCAATTAAGTGATTAATATAGACACTTTTATTATGTCCCGTGACGTCATTTTAAGTACATGTCATTTTTAACACACGCACACACGCGCGCGCGCGCGCGCGCGAGCCCGCACACACACACAAACACACGCACACACACAAACACACACACTACACTCTACACACTACACACACACACACACACAGAAACACACGCACGCGCGCGCACACAAACACACGCAGAAAC